GGGGGGGGGGGGGGGGGGGGGGGGGGGGGGGGGGGGGGGGGGGGGGGGGGGGGGGGGGGGGGGGGGGGGGGGGGGGGGGGGGGGGGGCATATTTTGGCTGCAAAACACCAAAGATTTCACACACACACACAGAGATAACCGGGGAGGGCTCATCTATGGAACTATACCAGGCTGAAAATGGCACATTTAAACCCATGCTAGTATGCTACAACCAACATACAAACAAGAACTGCTCCCATTTGGGGAAAAAAAAAAGAGCAGTTCATCTGTATTGCATGCATTTTCCTAGGAGGGAGTTCATAAACATCTTATCTATTTACAAAAATAAGACAACAAAGGACTAGTGCAATTTGTACCAATCTCAGTACACTAGAGAGACATAAATACGAAATAAGCTACTGGATACATGAGCCTACTGCCTATTCTCGGGCGTAGCTTCTTCTGGAGCAAGGCTACGGTCCATATTCCAACCGGTCGCTGCTTCCTCTGGACCAAGGCTATGCTCCCTATTCTCGGGCGTAGGTACCTCTGGAGCATGGCTACGCTCCCTATTCCAACCAGTCGCAGCTTCCTCTGGAGCAAGGCTGCGCTCCCTATTCCAACCAGGACGGGGTTGAGGCTTTTTGAAATACTTAGCATTGAAATCTTCAGCCTTGTCCGGATACTTCCCTCTGACGAAGCTATCTAAACATTTGCGGTAGGAAAAATCTTCTTTGCGACCATCAGTAGAGACTATGTAGAAACACCGGCTTTCCTGGAAACTGCTGTGCTTACTAACCTGCAAAGAAATTCTTGACATTAGCTCCAAAAGAATAACATGGATATTTTTATTTTTGGATACCATGTGACATAATTTAGTGGAAACATGCAGAGACAGCCCACAATATAACAGTGATTAAACAACTGATCAACCAACCAAAGTTTTTAACAATTTAGCCAATGCATACACATAAATCTTTATAAGGTTTAACTGTCCCTCCTCCCACAGTTACTTCCCACTGCCCTAAAAAGAATAGAAACACATAATTTTAGTAATTTAACGATACAGAAAAGATTATTATGCTGCACAAATCGTGATATTATACTTGTTATCTTACTTTTGTAGAAGGTCCCAAATAAGAAAACCAGTCCTGTGTCCCACACTTCTTGGATACTCGCCATGTGATTAATAAACTCATGACAGAAGATATGACTTTCTCATAACATAAAGAAAATTGAATTCTTAACAGTAACAAATTAAAAGTCCATACAAACTTTTCAGTGCAAGTTTTAAAAGTAAAAGCAAGGAATGAAGGTATACTTATGGGTGAGGCATAAAGATGACTAGAAATAATCAAATATGTATGCCACTGAGGTTGGAATCTTTAGTATCTGGTTTTGGGCTAAAATTTGGCTTTCTTTCTTTCCATGTTTGAAGAGAGAAAGCAGTCAGGGACACTTGGAACATTCTCTTAATCCAAGAGTTCTTCTAACCAACAATTCAAAATGCTCTGCCCGTCTGCCCAGAACAATTTAATTCCTGAGTTTTTTTAGATATGCCATAAAAATTACGAACTGTCTGGATTGAAGTTTTTCCTTTCAAGGGTTTCCCATTACTTTTCCCAAGAACATTCGGTAACCTGCCTCACTCATTATATACCAGTTACTGCGTAAGTGAATTACAGAGACTATGTATCAGCAATGAGAAAATGGTTAAAATCTCCACCACTTCATGTGACCTTGCCAGGAAAATATAATTCATTGAGACCACATCGGCATTTCAAATTGAAAGTGTTTGGCAAATCGGAGTTTGGCTTACAGTACAACTTCAATGTGTTTACATGTGACAAGCTTCAGATGACCAAACAATGTATAACAGCATCATGTGAATCAACAAAAATACAGCTTAACATTCAGGAATCTGATGTATCTAGTCAGAGTGTATTGCAGAAGAATATAACCTAACAAGGCAAAAACAGAGTTCATTCACATACCATGACATAGTCAATTCCAGCTCCCATCTTCAGAGTTTTATCAGGATGGTAATTGAAGACATTATCTATAATATATGACTGGTCATCCGCAGATAAGGGATCACCATCATTGTACCTTCACAAAAGAGGTGTACAAAATTCAAGGTTCAAAATTTTGAAGTTTCTTTTTCCCAATGAACAAACATTAAATTTACAAAAAAAAAAGTTTTGTAGTGCACAAAATTCATGTCATGAAATGGAATAGGTATGACGGTGATTTTTCTGTTCCAATTGACAACAGCTGCTGATAGCTCCAAAATGCCAAATTTGCAGCTTAAAAGGCCTTAAAAATATAAAGTGGGAGAATTAAGAGGGGCTTCTCCATCTTTGGGTGGCCCATTTTATCGAGAAGGAAAAGAAATACATCAAAGTATATTATTTTCCTCAACTGAGGATCATTTCTCAATCATGTTATTCCAGATAATCAAGGTATTGAAAATTTTATCTGAAATTCTTCTTCGCATTGATATACTGCTGTGAAGTACAGATTCTCCACCAAGGATGGAATAGGGCTTGGTCACATATTGGATCTAATCGGGTATGTCCCGAATATTTTACCATATTTTTCACTTTGATAGGGCTAGTATAAGTGTGGGATTCCTTGAGACTAGATACATGATTTTTTTTTTTACTTTTAAACTGGTCCATTAAACTATCTGCTTAAAAAAAGCGAGAGAATTCCTGTGCAAGAAAAAATGATTTTCACATCAAAATGGTTGATATGTTTGTATGACATTGAAAATGCCCTTCTTACATCATATTATTACTCAAATTTAAGAGTGGACATATCAAGGAAGTGAAGGCAAGAGACCTACTTGATTTTGTTAGACAGATAGCTTACTGTAATACCAATAAAACAGTTCATATTATTGTTGACCAACCAGGCTGTAATGATTTATTTAGTCTGTCTTATACTACCAATTGTAATATATAATAATATGAATTCATAAACTTAGCCTATCACATGAGTGGTTGGGATTGTTCTAACTTGGCTCCAATTCAATCCAATAGTCTCAAATGGTTGCTGCAATTTCATCCTCCCACTCAAATTTTAATCCACAGCTCCCAACTTTTTTAACTTGCACGAATGCATGATCACAGCCTCTCATGCACATTTTTCTCAAAAATTCAAACTATACTTTTTCTCTCTCACTCTTCTCTCTTGCCGGTCTCCCTGTCTTCAGCCCAACCTCTTTCTTCCATCCAATCTTTCCTCCCCCCCCAAAAAAAAATTTCTCACCCCTTCCAACTCTGGCAAAACTCCAGTGACTCTCTCAGTCTCTAAGTTTAGTTCCCATCTTTCTCTCTCCCCCTTCTCTGCAACACAAACGCAGCACACACACACACCCCTCATTGCACACACATTACATACACCACACACAGAACACACACTCAGCACTAAAACCAGCCGACTAATATTTAATTGGGTCTTTCATCTTTTTGACATTCTTATCCTTGAAGAACAATCTTAAAAAGGCGGCAGATTCTTTAGGATAAGAAAAAAGGTAGTGATTTGATTAAACATGTTCAAGGATCAAAATATTGTTTCGAAACGGTCGAAACATTTCTGTTTCTGAGGAGACCGAAACAAATTAGTGATGAAATCGAAATTCTAATACTTCGAGGTGCTCCATAATGTTTCACAATGTTATTATATTTCAATGTATTTGCACAATTATTTTGAAATGTTTCAAAATATTTTAAAATATTTTGGTATATTTCGACCAATGTTTTGAAAAAATAATTTTAAAATTTTTTATTTTTTTTCATTCTGTTTCCGAAACAGATCGAAATGTTTTCAAAATATATCGAAATATTTCTGTTTCCTAAATGATCGAAACAATACACTAAAACGAAATTTTAATCTTTGAATATGTTAATCCTATGATTGTTGGTTGTGCCTGTCTGGGTTTTTGGATTTTTGAGAATCCAAAATGTCATTTGATCATTTCACTTACACCAGATTTTATTTGAGTAGTTATATTTTACATGTGAAGTGGCTTTTAATAAATTCTTTTGGCTTTTTAAGGTTCTTGATTAGAGCAACGAGACCTATCATCCTCCTATCGCATCTTTCCAAAATTACAAGGTATCATGAGCATATGTAACTCTTTGTAATCATTTTGTAATTGCACAGGAACTCTTTTGGTACATTAAACGTCAAAAGAAATAAAATTTGAAACATACAATAAAAATTTTAATCCTCGTAGAGAAGCAACTGTGCAAATTACAGATGGTAGTCTTTTTTTTTTTTTTTCTGTTTGGTTGCTCAATTTAAGTAAGTCATTAGTTTGATTGGCTCAATTGGATCTAAAGTGATTATAGTTTTGGTTCTAATTAAAAGAAGTCTGGTAGGTGCACTTTTTTGTCTGTTTGTCCATCCTGGCGGTATTTATTGGTTTCTTGAGACTGCTAGAAGAAGCAACTTGATTGCGCAAGTTGTGGCCCAAATTTTTTTTATTACATGGCACGGGTTATTGCTAGTAAATAGGTTTGTTTGCATGAATGAGTCATTTTCCACTATATGTCTCTTCCTCATCAAGATTACTAATATCGTGTAATATTCTCCATCTCCGTCTCCTATTTCTTTAGGTTTTGTCAGATTGCTTTATCCATTTAATGTCGTGCCTGTATCTGGTAATGGTATCCATATCCGTACTTGATAGATGGGGTGAGATCAATAGATGTTACCTGGACTGATGCATTATTCTTCTGATGGACTGCATAATTGGCTCAACATCTAATAGAATGTCTTGTTCCTCTGTTGTGAACATATCCAATCGCTGTCTCGTCGCTGTGAAAGTTCCACTTTGAATGTTATCATCATTGAACCCACCAACTGACCTAGGAGGGCGGTTTTTCTTGTTCTTCCATTCCCCAGCATTAGAGGAACCCCAACCATGGGAACCTTCATTTTGATCCCTTTTGCCAGGATAACGCTTCTGCTGACCCCACTGAGACTGTGAATCACTATTGTCGAAGCCACCTACTTTTGGAGAACCCCAACCATGTGTACTTGCTGATTGATTTGACTGTTCATCTGTTATGTTTTTGTCAGAGCTCCAGAAATTGATTGGTGAATCTTTTGGCTGTCCTGCAGGAGATTGTAATTCAGATTTATCCCATACCTCATCATTTGAAGAAACCCAAGCAGAAGAAGGTTTTGACTGATTTGCTTGTTCACCTGCTACTTTAGCACCCCAAGGAAGTCCATTACCCTCCTTTTTGCTCCAACCTGTTTCATCGGCTTCTTTCACCTTCTTCCCAAAGGAAGCCCATGACCCTGACTGATTAGGAGTTTCCCCTGATTTGATCACATTCCAACCACTAAAAGAATCTTCTTGAGCTCTTTCACCATTTTGAGATTCCACCACACCCCATCCACCAGGTCTGGAAGAATCTTTTTGAGCTGTTGTGGAAAGCATTTCTCCCTTCTCAACAGTATCAGTGACCCAACTGGACCAACCACTAGGCTTTGCTACTGTTGCACTGACCCCCATATTTTGGCCATCCTTTTCACTCCAACTGGCTTTAGAAGGTTCTTCTGATTTTTTCCCCCAGCTGGCTTTGGCAGGTTCTTCTGATTTTTCCCCCCAGCTGGCTTTGGCAGGTTCTTCTGATTTTTTCCCCCAGCTGGTTTTGGCAGGTTCTTCTGATTTTTTCCCCCAGCTGGCTTTCGCAGGTTCTTCTGATTTTTCCCCCCAGCTGACTTTCGCAGGTTCTTCTGATTTTTCCCCCCAGCTGGCTTTCGCAGGTTCTCCTGATTTTTCCCCCCAGCTGGCTTTAGAAGGTTCTCCTGATTTTTTCCCCCAGCTGGCTTTAGCAGGTTCTTCTGATTTTTCCCCCCAACTGGCTTTAGCAGGTTCTCCTGATTTTTCCCCCCAACTGGCTTTAGCAGGTTCTTCTGTTTTTTTCCCCCAACCAGACCAGGATCCTGACTGCTTGTGTCCATTCCCAGTTTCCATAGCATCCCATCCAGCAGATCCAGAAGCTTCTTCTGGTTCCCTTGTTGAGAATAAATCTTGTGTCTGAATGGTAGGAGTTCCCCACCTTGTCAAAGCTCTGGCTTTTTCCATATCCTGTTTTTCATCAACCACACGCTCCCAGCCACCACTAGATTCAACTTTAAAAGATGAAACCTTTTCCCAACTTGATTCATTAGTTTTGATCCCTTCCATTTTTTGATTGTCTATGTCAGTATCAAATTCAGCACTATCTTCGAATACAGGCTTACCAAAACTAGAAATATGCTCTGGGGACACACCCAATTCCATATTTTCATCGTCCAGTTCAAGATCATCAATTTCTGCACCAAGACAAGCAGTACTCATTTCTTGGCCTTTGGAAATGCTCCTCACCAAATGAAGGAAGTTATAAATATCCACTCCATCTTGTTGTTTCAACCCAACCTTGCAAAGAAACCCCCCACGACTTTAGTCTTGACTGAATATTAATTATGAGAACATCCAAAAAATAAAGTTAACTCGTGATTATCCAGGGTTTGTTAGAGCATGCCAAAGAGATGAAAAATGTAATAAGTACTAAATACCTCTTTTAAGTCCCAAAAAAGATCAAATGCAGATCCCGTACCAACAGCCACATGCTTGCCCCATGAACAAGAGCCAACAATGCTGGACAAAGAATCCACATGGCACTTTTCAGCAGCCCTCTCAAAGCACTTTTTCGGGGTCTGTGGGACAAAATTAAATAATCAATGTAGATTAGAAAGATAGGTCATCACATTAAAATTGGTGTGCAATATCTGATTAAAATAACAAAGGGAAGTAAAACTCCTTACAAACAATGTTGCTTCTGTAAATGGTACTTGGACATTTAGTGATCGAGATAATGTTTTTATACCACCTGTATTGAAACCAACCAAGTTCCCTGCACATGTCATACTATTGGCCAACAGAATAAGATGCTCTTTGAGGACGCCTTTGGTAACCATCGTCACTGATGTTGAGAGGCGCTGCGAAATAGCCCAAAAAAGGTTTTTGTTTACAAAAATGCACAGATTCAACCATATGTCAGAGGAAGACACACAATAAAAGCTACCTAAAAAGTTAAATCCTCAGAATAGTGAAAAAGTTAAGGTTAAGGTCAATGCATTTCAAAATCCTGCTAGATCAATTCCACTATCTGATCAGTAAAGGAATAAGTAAAAAAGAAAATTAGAATGCAATTATCCAAATAACCCACTGTTACTATTTAATACTCCACTTTCAACTGTTGTTCTGGTAAACAGATATTTTTCACCAGCAAGAAAAACCAAAATTTTTAATCTAAAATATTACTAGCAACCTATTTGGAGAGAGCAGAGGGGCGTGGAAGGTGGGGAACAGAAGGAAGGAGAGACTCCACAAAGGCTGTCAGTTTGGTAGTTACAAGAAGCATAATTCAGAAGGCAGAATCTAGAGAAACAAAATATGAAGCTTATGAGAGAATTGTAGCTTGTTTGAGGTACTTAAATGGAGCGAGAAAGGATGAAACAAATGACCTCAAAGATAAAAATAAGACCCACTCGAGAAGTAGGTGTATTAAGTGCATGATGCTTGAATGAACATGACACAACCAAAAGATGCTAATGCAGAGAATCGCAAACATCAGGAGAAATTGCAGGAAGTTCAATGCTATAGAATGGGGATTGTGAAAGGAAGATAAACATTATTATATCGGGAAATGATCGGAACACACTCAATTTGCATAGCCGATCCTTAGAACTACAGGAGAGCAGTGGAAGATGATTCTCAAAGCAAAGCCATAAACACGGTCAATGCATATCAGCCAGGAGAAGGCCTACCTATACCATTGTCATAACAAGAGATGCACACATTTAATGGCCATTTACAGAGTGGTCCACACCAAATAATTGACAGTTGATGAAACTACAAATAAGAAATCCAACGGTACCTGAACAGCTTGCTCAAAAGCACAAGAAATTCCAAGCAATTCTTGAACTTGTTTTATTGCATAGGGTATTGAACGCCTAGTGTCAATTAAATGGATTACAGGAAGGCAGTAATCCATCACAATCCTCCAGGCATCTCCACTCTGCTTAACGGCTTCCTTCTCGAGTACAACATCTAGAGCCAATTCACCCTTTTGACCCTTGCAAGGGTTTCTTATCCAAGTCATTGTGTCAGGACTAATCCAAATTATATTCACAGTGGAAACTCGGGGGTCACCTATTCATTCATGAGTAATATGTTTATGTCAAATTCAAAGCATACTTTTTCATAAAAATAGTGCAATGCAGTCTCATTATTGTCTCTTTTTTATGAGGTGAAATCATACAGGACAGAAAACAAGATCCAGATAAACGTAACAGTAGGAGGTTTGGCTAAAAAAACTAAAATCTAAAAGCATTCAAACTTAAAAAAAAAAAAAAAAGGAAGCAAAATTTTTATACACTTGGAGGACTGCAGTCACCCTTAGAGACAACAAAGTGTTTGCGTGTCTCTTAGCCAAGTAGTCTGCTTACGGTCTGTTTTTGGTGGGGTGAGTGGGGGAAGCAATCCAGCCTTCTTGTTTGCAAACAATCCATATGTACTAGGTCTGTTTATTATTGAATTCAACATCAAAGAATTTGAGGAATTGGTGGTGCAGGGGAAAAGATAATAGCAACCATATTGCTTTTTAGAGAAAATCACACATTTAACACCAGGCATTAAGCTTTTTCAGTTCAGTTTAACATAGTGTTTCTTTACTGGCCAAGCCCAATGTTTTGATAAATTAGGACTGCCTAGTCCCGCTTTTGTTGACATAGTAACCAGAAGAAAAATTAGAGGAAGAGGAAGCGAAGAAGAAATAAGAGTTGTCAATTATGAATCATATGCTATCAGTTGGTCAGCCTTTAACTACAAAAGAAAATATAAAGGGAGAAAGAAAATAATTATTTTGGAAGTAAGGGAAGAAAAAAGAAAATNCTGCCAATAAGAAGAGGAAGAGGAAGCGAAGAAGAAATAAGAGTTGTCAATTATGAATCATATGCTATCAGTTGGTCAGCCTTTAACTACAAAAGAAAATATAAAGGGAGAAAGAAAATAATTATTTTGGAAGTAAGGGAAGAAAAAAGAAAATGTAAAAACCTAAAAACCTAAAAACACATAAAGTATGACCATAAGATTTGCCATATATGCAGTCCTGACTAGATGACAAATAAAAAAAGAAACCAGGAAAAAAGTGAGTACAATCTTAAAACATGTTCAAAATAACAAAACGAGAAACAACAATCTATAAAATACCTTTGATAATTGTTTCCAACAAAACTGGGCAAATTATGTTGGCAAGAATATGAGAAGTCCTCTCTAGATGAGAGTCACTTGCATCTTTCCAAAAGAACTTCAGGCATGGCATCTCATACCAGTTGCTTTCAGAAGATTGTCGAAAAGAACAACATTCACTGCAAAGAATTTAAACAGCTTCATTCATAAAGAATTTCCAAGGGCGTGCCTATAACTACGGTAAGTAATTAAGAAACCATTCACTTAAAGATATTAAAATTATCTTACAAGCACCTTCACATTTTAAAATTCTATGGAGAGCGAACTTAATGCTCTCCATGAAATAACCCGCGTAAAGATTCAATGACAAAGACAACAACAAAGCCCTAAAAAGAAGTTGACAAGCATATAATGTCATTTAAACTCCGTTGCCATGAACACAGCAAATATAAGGAATATGAATGTTATATTTTTTTGTCAGTTAAGAACCAAGCGGATGTACAGATATACATTTAAATGTCTGACCATATGCTAGTTCTTTACTTCAACTTTTATGAAGAAGCACTTAAACAAAGGAATGCTTATCAGAAAGTAAAAAGTAAATAACAACAATAGACAGACAGGGCTGTGACGTGAACAGCATAGACTTTGTTAAACACTGATAACATGTCTAACCAATAACACATGTCTGCAAGCTATATATTGTTGCGTTAAGTGTAGCATGGTCTAGGCCAATTTAAGTGCTTCTAATTTACAGTTGTAAGTTAGCATTGGAATGTATAGTTCAAATTTCTCATTTTCTAACTATAATAAAAGAAGTTCCACTACCCAATGCAGAATTATCAATACATTGCAGCTATTACCACTATATTCACCATTACTCTTTAGGCAACATTTCATGAAAGTCAAAAACTAGCATTTTTGGATGACTTTATCAAACTGAAATAGTTTTGTGACACTAAGGCCAGGCACTGATTTAAAACGGGCTTAAAGTATGAAACTATGGCCAGGTAGCGAGTCATTCAAGAAATTGCTCAAGAGTTGAACTGGAAATAATAAGCCCTATTTTCACCAATTTTTTTTAGTTATTGGATAGTGAGATTGAACAGGCGAGTCATTACGCTATTATGATTCATTCATGTACACAAGGACACAAAGATAACCATCATCATGATTTTTGGTCATCACCAAATATTCTCCTCCATATTTAGTACTAAACATTCGGGTTAGGCATGTAGACAATTCCATAAAGATACAAACAATGACAAAGACGTGGGTGCATCTGATAACCATTTGAAAAATCCTACCTGCAGCCATGTGCTTGTTTATGTGGCACTGCCACATGCCAATCTTTTGACTGTCCATTTGAACAGTAAATGTTTCATGATCATGGCTATATGGTGAAGTCCACCCATCATAAAAACTCTGAAAAAAGTCTGAGGAATAAACCAAACCTGAACGATAAAACTATTCTCTTGAAGATATGGCCAACTTTTTTTTTCTTCCGGAAGGAATTGACGGTGTCCTGACATTTTTCAAGAACGTCTTGCATACTTATATTCAAATCTTTCGCCTGTGTCTGTGCAACCAACAGGTCACAAAAATAGTCAATTCCAATTAACAAGCAATAATAATCAAGATTTTGTTTTGTTTCGGATGAAACGGCCAGAACGTTTCGGTTTAGGTGAAAACCAAAATGAATCATAGATTGAAAATCGAATTATGGAAAGTTCCACCAAAATGGATGAGTATGTTTCAATGATGCGGAATCAAAATTCCAATTTTTTTTGTGTCAGGAACGTTTCCATTTTTTGAACTGGAACTATGTGCTGGAATGAAATATTGATCCCCGATAATAACTACAAAAGTGTTAACATAAGAAATGCCCCAGTGTTGAATCGTCTACATAATAGACATCCAAACCTTATTGAGATGAACATGACCAACAAGGCCGGCATCAATTTCAGAACTCTCATATGTTGTTTGTTGTCTTCCATATCTGAAGGAGGAAACCATAAGAAATTTTAATAGCACATCACAGCACTATCAATTTCCAAAATGCCACAATTTGAATGAACTTAAATGAAGAATTTGCAAATCTGCAAGGAGTATGATACTGAAAAGTCAAAGCCTCAGGTTAATCTAATGCTAGTCTCACACGCGGCAGGAAACAACTTGAGAATAACTAAAGTTAAAAAGAAAAAATGCCAAATTTTGGAGCTAACTAGATAATGCATGACCCAAAATACCAACAATATTGAAGAGCACTAAAACAATCACGTATACCACAAGCAGAGATGGTCAATTTTCGGACATGAGAAGCAAAAACCATCTAAAAAATGGATAAGTGCATCAACATTTCATGGAATAATAAACGTGTCCTCTTCAATGATGTATTCGCAACCAAGCCATTAGGTAGGTTCCCACCACAACTGCCCCTACCAGGCAGTATCATTTATTGAAATAAAATCAAAAATAAAAATTCAAATTTTTCTTAAAAAATCATAATTAGTAGACAATTATATTATCCATTAGGATAAAACCAAAAAATTAAACAAGGGATCTAAGTCATTCATAAGAGTAACATGAAGTTTATAACCAAAGTTCATGTTCTACTATGTCATTTATTAAAATAAAATCAAAAATAAAAATCTAATTTTTTCTTATAAAATTTGTATACAATTATATTATATTTTAGTTTAAAACTAAAAAATTAAACAAAGAGTCAAACTGTAATGGACACAATATCTTCTAACTTTAATTAGGATTTGGTCATTTAAACGACTAAATTAAATTCCAATAGATAGTATAATTGTATACTAATTATGATTTTTTTAAGAAAAAATTAGATTTTTATTTTTGATTTTATTTCAATAAATGTCATAATAGAATTTTGATTGTAAAATTTTAAATATTTTATATTTTATATTTGATTGAAGTATTTTTTTGTCTAAGTATACATTTTAAAACTTGAAGAGGTATAAATATTACCCGTCTACAAATTTTAGGAAATCTAGGTATAATTTACTAACGGATATTCTAACGAACATTGACGGTAAGGGTTTAAGTGTTACGCGCACACAAGAGATCTATATGTAATATTTCAAATGTTAGAGATTCTGAGTAATTAAATAACAAACCTCAGGGAATCTGGGTATAATTCTCCCTTATAAATAAGAAAGTGTCGGACAACCTAAACCTACACACAAGTTTATTCTCTCTCTGCCACTCTTCACTTATCTTCTTGTTCTCTCTTAAACCTAACCCTAATATCACCTTTAGTGTTTCAACTGTATACATCTTTAGTGTTTCAACTGTATACATCTCAAGAGTCGTGAAAACATTTTAACCTACATGTTGACCTAACAATAAGGGTACCATAACTACATGAAATAGAAATATGATAGTTCAAAACAACGCAATCTGAAACACAGTATTGTTTTTTATACCACATGATCATATAGAAGGATTATAGAATAAACAAGATACATAATGCAAATATGCAACAAATTCCTATGCTGAGTTTACATATACAAGACAGTATTTAAAAATTGTAGAAATGAAGAAAAATGGCAGAAAAGAAAGCATACTCAATTAAGAATTCAACTGCAGCATCCTTAAGACTGACTTTTTTCAACTGATTTTTCACAAGATATGCGGCATTTTCTCGGCAATACTTTCTCCCACAACCACAATCGTTCAAATACAAGATTATTCGGCGGTCCAAAGTATCATTCTTGAAATTGACTCGGCAAAGCAATATCTCCTGAAGAGAGAAAATAGCAGAAAGATGCATGAGTATTTATGTGCTACTAGGAATAAAATTGTGCCAAAGTCAAATTATCGAAAAAATGAAGACACCAGTTTCAATATTTTAAAGATGCTCACCTTCATCATCTCCCATGAGGAATTACTACTTGGCGAAGAATCAAGAACTGCCTTGTATGCAGGATTCGACATGGCAGTTGCAGCTAGAACTCCAACAGGTTCTCCAGCAGCAAATATAGCCTGGGTCTTGGTTCCAACTTTAACTCCATATTCAAATTGAATAATTGAATTGCTGCAAACATTCCTAACTGAGCCATCATAGCAGATAACTACATCCCGAAGGATGGCCATCAAATTCTTGAATAGAGTGCCAGGTTCAGTTAATCCTCTAGAAGAACGTACAATTACTTCTCTACTAGAAATTGAATGAACCATTTCCTGGTAAGGGTCCAACCCATGAAAGAGACAGCTTCTAACCATCCCAAATTCTTCAGAAGGGTATGTAGCACTGAAAGGATATTTCTTCAGGAACAAAGAAGCCATGTCACCAACCAACGTCCCAGAGTAGAATTTTCCTTTGTCAGAGAGTTGTAATCCAAGGAACCCGATTTGTTGAACTACCTTGTTAATAGCCGAATCACTTTTGGAGTCTATCAGATGACCCATTGCGGAGGACTTGAGAATGAAATTACTAACAGGTATTTTCACTAGCTTCATGTGATTATCTAACTGCAACTCCACCAGTTCATTGTAGGTCGACCGCAAATGATAAAGCAAAGGTGAAATATCCTGAATATTTTTCTGAATACTTTCAACTACAGGTCTGGGAATAGAAAAATCTTCCAGGCCAACACTGAAACCTTCTGAATACAGATTTTCCATCAGCAAAGGTTGCAACGAATTGAAGAAATTTAAAACCTCTTTGGGGCCTTTCACAAAGAAAAGAGAGGTGACAATGTCATTGATAATTGACTGCATTACATCCCTATTAAAATCAACCTTCAATATCTCACTTCCACAGATCAGATGTCTCTCCCCGGAACAGTCAAAGCAAGTAGGTAGAGTAGTCTGTAACATTTGTAATGCAGTCCAAAGTGGGCCAGAACTATGTGACTTCACCACTGCGGGTTTTGGTAAGGAATTTGGAACAAACATGGCTAACTGTTGGGCGGCTGCTCTACTCAAGAAATAATTCTTAAACAGAAACTTCAGGGATAACAATGAATCAGTGGCCATCTGTAAGTTGAAGTTACCGGTATGAGAGCTAAGCAATTGATTTTCCACAGAAAATAGCTCCAACACCTCTGCTTTTGCTGCAAATGACTGGGGATAAAATATATGAACACAGTCACCATCAAAATCAGCACTGAGAGGGCCACATATAAGGGGGTTAATCTTGACTGTATGATCATCATGGATGTATACCGACAAAGCTTGCAGGGAATGCTTGTGGGTTGTTGGAGGTCTATTGACAAAAACTATATCCCCGTCCATAATCCTCCGATGTACCACTTGCCCAGGTCTCAAAAATGTATGCCCCTTTGAACCTTCCCTCAATGAGTATGTAGACAACCCATCCTTATAGGTTAAGCACAATTTTTCATCAACCAGCTTCTGTAGATATCTTATGTTATGCTGGTTAACTCTCTCCTCAAAGGTAATTTTCTGAGCTATTTCAAATGGTAATCCAATTTCATCAACTCCTTTATATGAATCACCAGTTATGACGCTACGGGAGGAAAATCCAGACCCCTTTCTAATAAACAATGTTTTCATCTTTTCAAGCCACGCTTTAGTAGATGAATTTTCTGGTTCTTTGCTGACCCCGTATCGTGTTTCAACATCACGAGATGCCTTGTAGTTGAAATTTGCATCAAAAGACAAGAAATACAGTTAATTAGTCCATCACTCGTGTGCTATTGTTCAGCAATGTTATCATGAAAGAATAAGTGTGTGTATCATACTACCATCCTTTTATTTTTTATGAGCAAACATTTCACTTTTCTAGAAAAGGAAAATCTATCTAAGAATGTATGAAACCAAAAGCAGATGAAACTAAACAAGCTATATACAAAAGGCCTTCTTATCAGAACCATTTATCTGAATTATTCATCATGCTTCCGCAGCCAAGAAAAAAACATAAAACATAGAAAATTACACAACATTTAGATTTAGTCATAAGTATAAAGAGATATCCTAGATAAAGATCAGGTGTTAAATGGAACCCATCAGCATAAAAACTGCTTAACAAATATAAAATAGATATATTATATGTAGAATGTAGCCTTTGCAGCTTATTCAGTGATCCTATTCCAGAACTAAAAAAAAATTAATGTAATACCTTNTAATGGAACCCATCAGCATAAAAACTGCTTAACAAATATAAAATAGATATATTATATGTAGAATGTAGCCTTGCAGCTTATTCAGTGATCCTATTCCAGAACTAAAAAAAAATTAATGTAATACCTTTGATGTGCCCCTAACTTGAAGATACTGGGCAACTGCAGCTTGTAGATCATTCGCTTCAACTTCATGGGATACAAAATTCGGCGTCCCTGACCTCGAAGTTTTAATGATCTCAACTTGCTTCAGCACTTTCTTGAGCATTGTTATAGAATGATCCTAGACATCAAAAAAAAAAAAAAAAACTTACTCACAAGCTAACTCTTAAGAACAATATATTAATCCATGGAGTCAGATATGAAAAGACTGGCTAACCGAGGACATGACACTGATTCCATCGGAAACGTCTGGCATGGACAAACAATTTGGAGGAACTGGAACATATTGCAGGATATATCCATCTTGGGGGAAGTAACCTTTCCCAGAAAGCTTTTTTCTTGTTGCCTCGGGAATTTTTTTCAGAATACCCATCACCTAGAAGTTGATGAAACAAAAGGAAACCAAGAGAAGGGAAAAATCAAACATCAACAAGCAACTAAATATTTGGGCCATAATCTAAAAAAAAAAAATAGCAACTCATGGCAACATCACAAGGATTCTCCAAACCCAAAATCAAATATTCTAGAGTCAAATAAATAAGGATATTGAACTTAAAAAAAATGAATAAATGAGGATATTTAACTTACAAAAATTAATAAATGAGGACATCCCACTGATTCAGAAGGAAGTTTCTCCTTCAAAATATTAAACGTTTTACAACTAGAATAATGAATTATCTGGAAAGATCTCTTAGGTACATAGTCCGTTCTTTAGATGATTAATATAATTCACTAAAACTTAGGATTTGTATGAGAGTAAGGAGAACTGGATGAGAATGGATTGGCACTATATTACTTCAATCTACACAAAGTTCTTGAAAGAACAAACCACGTATTCAGTGAAACATGCAACTGACATGGGGAAAATATAGAGAAAAACAAATTTGTTTGCAAGAAAAAGAAAATAATAGTAAAGGCATCAGTGCCAAACAAATTTGTTTGTATTCTGACCATGACATTTAAAGGATTCCAGTAACATGGGCAAATGAAAGAAGTGTAAAAAGGCTTTAGGAAAAAGCTAAGGGTAGTCTCAACGTCTAGAGGTCTTCAACTTGCACATAGAAAAATTAGAACAAAAATTTCTTCGACGATGAAGACAAGAGAAGTGATAAGGTTCTCTATGACTTATGCTTCAATGAATACCTTAATCCTTCTCTGCAACGTTCCATCTTCACATAGGTCCAAATTCAAATGTTCCCATCCAAATATTGGAAGTTTTTCTAAAGACGTTAGCAGCAGAATTAGAGTGTCATGTGGGGCCATCTGGATATGCAGTTGTTACCAGGTGGCAAAAGCTTAATAAAGGACAACAGCAACAAGCCTAGCCCTGGCAGTCCCCCTAATATAAGCACACAGCACTCGGCCTAAAAACCAGCAGCCCCATAAAAGATTCAAGCACCTTTAGCTGGCCAACAGGAGACACACGCCCATCGCACCAGCAAGGTGGGTTAAAATATTGTTTCCATGCCAACCAATGCAATAATGGTTCTACTCATGCTCCAATCATAAATGTAGACCTATGGCTTAAAGAAAGTAGTAGCAGCAGAAGCTGGGGTTTTAAAGTCATGCATAAAAATACGTTTTGCTAGGGAGATGCAAAGAAAAGAAAAGAAAAGAAAAGGTTAACCACCATGAATAAATTGCAAGCCATGATCACAGGCCAATATAAACTACCAATTACCAGAGATGAATTGAAAATAAAAGCAAGAAGCCAACCTCAGAAGGAAGTAAAGGCCGACTGTAATTAGAACCATATTGAAAACCATACTTTGCCAAAAAATCCCAGAAGCCTTCTTGAAATCTTGATCTAGATGGTAATTTCAATTCCAAGTAACATGCACCATCTGTCGTTTTAACCTCATTGATTGAAATTTGTGAAACCTCCTACAAGAAAATGACAAAAAGTAAGCCATGCAAACCAAATGCTACATAGAACTTTCCCTTATTTGGTTTGTAGTCAGTACCAGCTCTAACATTTAACAACTGCATTCATTTCTCACACAGGTCAACAAAATCTTTCAAAAACCTTGATCCCACGCAAGTGATATTCTAGATATTGGTTGCAGAAACTAGTAGACCACTAGTGGTGTGTCCATTATAGAGCATATGGCATCCAAGGATCTGTCTCTTAATCCTCCTTGGGACCTTAGATTGATCGTCCAGAATCTGGTGGTTTTCTTGGAACCCATATGGCATANTCATGTTGTCTTATCAAATTAAAGAAAGCTCTTATTTTTATTCTAACGTTTAAAATATTGAGCAGAAAGCATCCAAGTCCAACCAGGAATAAACCTGCACCTCGCCATTATGAGTTACTATGGTGACCAATAACTAATAGCACATGGTCAACAACAAAAAATAAAACAACATTTAAAAATATAACCGGACACTGACCAAATTTTATGTTAGAACATTCAAACAGTCTGCTTTATTTTTGTCATTGCTTGAAGGAAATTGCCTTGAAATTACTGAATCATTCAACAAAGTCTCAACTTGTTGGCAATACATTTCTTTCAAAACCCTTCCCAACAAGCAACTAGAAACTTCAATGGAAATAAAAACATATAACTGCAAAGATGCACCCACAAGCAAGTGCATGTACCAGCTTTTAACGTGACAAACAGGTGTGACATTCCTAGAGAAGATAAATTCAAAATCTTTCTTGGAATACTTGATCAATAACCATCTCTTCCATTCTTTGAACCTTCTTCTCTGGTTTGGAAGAGTAAGTTATCTTTGATGGTACAAGTTTTTGCATAGTTAATTGCACATAAGAAATTAAATAATAATGAATTGCTCCAAAAAAATGGGAGTCTTATTTTATTCAACCGCAATGGTGCATCCTTCGTAAGAAGAAGCGGAGTGCATTACTTATTTGTTCATTCATTGAGCTTTTGCCTCAAAGTTGTAGAATTGACTCTTGGTTGTCGTTGAGATCCCTTGGGTAGTTTCACATAGTATGTTGATGTCTTTGGCTCATGTACTAAAGCCAAATTGTATGGAGATGTGTGGTGTTGGTTTTGTTTGCAGCTGTTTGGTTGGAAAGAAATGAGCAAATTTTTTAGGAAAAGGAGGACCTTGGGAAAAATTATAGGATGAAATAACTTGCATAGCATCTCTTTGAATGTCCCCGTCCAAGGATTTTGAAAGAATTACTTTACTTGGTGACTAAAGACCATTGGACTCAAGTGTTCGAATAGTGACGCCACTCGATTATTTCATCTTCTTATTGCTATTTTGCGCTGAACTTGTTTAGGTTCTACTTTTCTTCTTTCCTTATTTACCTATTTAGGATTCCTTGTTCACTCATGTACTATTTTCATTTTATATATCTTAGGGATATTCCATCATCTCCAATCAAAAATAATGTTATCCAAAATTGGCAATTACTAACATTCAGTTCCAATTCTTGCCAATGGAACATAGTATAATAAAGAAAACATATACTTGGGTAATTTATGCACGGTTTGTATTATTCATCTTCATAAAAGGATGACTAAAACTGAGACAAAGCAGCTGCCAGACGTTTTTATAGCCATATCCATCAATTCAGAATTGCATCTCTAGTAAGTTGTAACAACAATTTTGAGTTATATTTCAATCTCTTATAAAAATTTGGTTAGTTAATTTACCCAAAACTTCAAAACCAACGGCCAAATACATCAAATTGACTGAAATTTTAGCTTCCAACCTTCTCCAAAAAGGCGGACAATGCATTGGGCCTCATCACTAAGCATATGCATTGCGCATGTAAAGACAGAACCAATCAAACACCTTCCTCTCATTCCACACCCAAAAATAAAAACAGATATACATGCACAATGCATATAGAAAAACATGCGCTCGGTCTGTGAGTACCTTAGCCTCAGTAAGAGTTTGGGTCATGGAAGGCATCAGCATTATTCATATTTCATGACGTTCATTTGTGATGACTTGAGCTGCTTGTTCAAATGGAGTTTAAGGTAAAACACAATGAGTATTTATCTTGTGCTTCTCTTTCCCACAAGGTATAGAGACAATGGGGAGGCAAGACACTTTTATTGACAAGACATTAGCTCTCTTGGAGACAATGAAGAACCTAATCTCCACTCCATATCAAGCTCAAATTGTGGCAGTATGACCGTCAACATTGTCTATTAAAGATCAACCGTTGACAGCAGCCCAGAGTGAGCGCATTATGTAAAAATGTAGTTCATCCAGTTTATGAACCATTTTCTTGGATCCTTGGAACAATAAAATCAAGAAGTAGGTTACTAGGTTAAAACGAGCGGATGAATCCTCCAGGGAAAACGTCATACCCCCTATTCCTTTTCCCTCATGTTTTTCATTTTTCCACTGGGTCCAATGACTCCAATCCAATTCGACACCCATTTTCATTCTTCTCATAAGAGAATCACCAGTTACATAATTTCTGTAACAATAAAGTAACTTCAGCTCCTAAGCAACAAATGTAAGCATACAGACAGAGATAATGCAAATAAACTCAATAAAATTTTTTTAACAAATATGAAAATAGTGATGTGACCAAAATAAACAAAAAAAAAACTGTATTAGGACCAAAATAAACAAAATCCTTCTCATCTGTCCATAAAAGCATTTCACACATTCATAGGAATCATTTTGACAACAAGCTGCTCACCTCACAACATGAAGACAACATTCTTTCCAGGGGACCAACATTCTTGACCGGAAACTGTAGGTATGAATCCAGTAAGACAAAGCACATACAATATAAGCACAGGTATTATCTCAAGTCAAATAGAAATTCCAGTGGAAATAATGAGCAAAAAATTCATTGTAGCGCAAAAAACTCTTGAAGTATGACAATACTCAATTTTTATCAACTCGGTATGAAGAAGATTTAAGGACCAAGATACAGAATGACATCAATCAGTTGTCACCCCAAGAATTTTCCATTCATCCTCAGACATAACACACTTATAAGCTCCACTCGATTAGAAAATGAAGGTGTATTTTCTCACAAAAGGACAACTGCACATTACATAAAATTAAATCATTTTACCAGTGTAAAAAATAACTTTTTTTATGCTGATCTCAAAATAGAGCAAGCCCACTACCAAAACCCCTTTGTCCCCTCTTTTGAGGAAATTGATAGAATAAAAAGAAATTGACAATCCTCATAACCTCCCTTGGACATAACAAGGAAGAAGGAAGAAAACAAAAGAAAGGAAAAAGACAATCTAGGTACTCTTGACAACAGAATAGTCATGGTTCATCACAAAATAGAGAAGCATATGAAGACAGTCATGGATACTCTTCTCCAAGAAAATCATTGGACATTTTCTGTAAGAACCACTTTTGTTCACATGAATGCTCTTCAATCAAAAAGGTTGGTAAAAGACTTCATTAAGTAGGGACATACCTGAAATTGATTGAATATTAAATAAGATAAAAATAAGAGTAAGGGATAAAACACAGTACCATCCTGTTTTTCATCTTCAAGCACTTCAAGCACAACAAACTTAATATCCGTTTCAGTTCACTAACATGATCCGGATGGTACACTGGGATTGGTAGTTCAATATATCCAAAATGACCTGAAATGAGAAACAGAGAAGAACTTCAAAAGTATTTTTGTGATTGCATAAAAAAAGTAAGACAATTAGCTCAAAGTTTTCTGATAGTGAAAACTTGCTCACTGTCCACCAAAAAAGAAATTGATCGGTAAAATAGAGTTTCTACAAAAATTACAAAGCCAAAAAAGGAATACCCTACACACCTTCACATTGCCCAGGTTCAGCAGTACCACAAGATTCACATTTTCCAGATTCAAGGGGCAGACCAAGAAAGGGATTTGAGAGTTGACTAGCATGGCTGATAGGGCAGTCACTATTGGATGATGTACACTAGCAAAAAGAATCACAATAATCCTGAATTATTTATCCAACAATAAAACAATCCACAAGATTCAGAGGGGAACTTAGTTTTGGTAGGCAATATTTGGGACCCCCTCTCAGTTGGAAGGAAATTTCATGTGATGTACTTAATCATCTGATTCTTGGCTAATATATAGTTGGGTAAAAATGTTTAATCCATTACAAGATCTGAAAGAACTATAAAATAACTGCTCATAATCATTGTGAAAATTACCTTCCAGCAATGAAGAAACAGATAATGTCTTCTATTGAAAAAGATAAGGTCAGGTGGACCATTGTTAATCAAACCAAATCCACAAATCGCTCCATACGAACTTAATTACACAAGTTGAAAAATATAAGGTCTAATGACCATTTTGTACTTACAATTTCTTGACGATTTGCCAAACCAAATCTGATTCCGGTTAAGTCCCCATCCAAAACAGTTGATGTTGTGTTTTCCTCCATCTGAGTTGCCACCTTTGACTTTCAATTAAAAAAACACGGTAGAAATTAACAAACAGAAAATAAGAAGGCGTGAATAAATCAGCATGATTCTTTGTTTATATGTTTCTTTAACTTATTCATAATCACAAGTTATCCAAATCTCCTTGGTTTGGTTGCCAGTAAATTTGAAAACTGAAACTATCAAACAAGATTATCAAATGATTCCTACTATTTCATTAACATTTTAAAAAGAAACAAAAAACAGAAAAGGCAAAATGTTATGTATAAGACTCAATTGCAAATAGAAATTGCTGCTTCCTCTGGTCCCAAATGACAAATACGTAAAACCCACTTACAATTAAATAATATCAAGCTAAATGTCAGAAAGCCCCACTTAGTAGATAGATGAATTAGGTTCAGTTGCATCGAGAAATTTATTCGTTCTCTAGCCCCAAATGATTTGAAATCTCTGATTGAAACCTTTGAAAATCTTTTCTTTCAAGCATTTTAATGGCAACCAAACAGATCACAAGTGGACCAAGTGACAACAAAGAACAGCATTGCGTGTCTTTTTATTTTTGGTAAATATCATTATCATCAAAACACGCTTGCTAAAACACAAATATCAAATAGAAAAGAACACCACGTTTGGTGGAGGTGGAAATTCAAGAAAACTAGTACCAAATAAAGAATAATCCTCTTAATTAAATTCTTCTTTTAGAGAATTGCAAAATAAATTAAACTACCAGTTGCATGGAAAACCGGTGTCCTTTGGTCCCTGATACCGAAAACCATCTTATCACATTCACGTCTCAAATATACTTTGCCTTTCCGACATTCCCACGGTAACCAAGCAGACCATATGTTGTTCAAAGTTCAAGTATCCCCAATATTGTGAATTTTACACAAAACCCACTTAAAATTATACAAACCCGCATTGCAAAATCGCAATTTTCCTTTCCTTTCCTTACTGACATTTTCTCAGCAACCAGACATACCCCATGTTGGCCAAAGGACTAGAATCGCCAAATTGAAATCATATACAAAACCAACATGCAAATACACCAAATCCACCTAGAATCAAACAGACCCGCGTTCTAAAACCCTAGTTTCAGAAAGGAATATCCACAATATAAAAGTCGAGAGATTACTTTAGCTAAGACAACCACAATTTAGGGACAAAAACAGACATTACTACCCAGTACGGACACTACCACCCTGCAGATTATGTTTATACTTATATACATATAGAACACATGCGCGTGTGGATTTATGCTTGCATATATGTCCGTGTACTTAAAAACACACACCAATGTCAATTGACACACACACACAAAAAAAAAAAAAAACTTGTGAAAAAATATCATACCTGCAGTGAATTGATAGTGATAGGAAGGTGTAGAAACTATTACCTTAGCTGAGAGTTGAGAAAGAGAGGGGTTTCTTCTTCACACCATTCGGGTTTCTTCGGACCGTTGGGGAGAGAGAGAGAGAGAGAGAAAATGGGTTTTAGACTCTACATCCGTGCATGCAGTGAGAGCGATTGGTGATTTTTGTGTGGGAAGGGAATTACTTTCTGGAACCGTACAATGGCAAGCAAATAGAATTTGAGGTTGGGGAGGGGGAGGGGGGTTTCGAAAATCGAACCGGCCAATTTGGGGTTTCATATGGAGGGGAGGCTTAAATTTGAAAACCAAAATATATGTGCAACCCCTTTGACATTTCCAAGGACCAACATTCAATTTCAAATTTCATCAATTTTAATCATATTTTTTAGTTCAATACTCGAAATTTTATTGATGTTGATCAATTTTTATTTTTTATTTTTTATTTTACTATATGGTGTTTAGGTTTGTGCCGACTAATTCCACTAGTTCAATAATTGACCACCATGACGTGAGCTAGTGTACGTCCGTAAAAAGACAAAGGTGACTAACCCTAACAGACTTGAGCTCTTAAAGGGTGTTTAGACCGTAGCTAGATCTTATTAATCTTGTCCATGTCGTACCTATTATTCACACCAGTGAACATCTATCAACGAATAATTCAATTGGGTCAAAATCATTCAAGAAATAAACAATTTTTGTATGTAGGCATATCGATACCAACAATAATCTTTTGTAATTGNCAAAAACAGACATTACTACCCAGTACGGACACTACCACCCTGCAGATTATGTTTATACTTATATACATATAGAACACATGCGCGTGTGGATTTATGCTTGCATATATGTCCGTGTACTTAAAAACACACACCAATGTCAATTGACACACACACANACCATCCTGTTTTTCATCTTCAAGCACTTCAAGCACAACAAACTTAATATCCGTTTCAGTTCACTAACATGATCCGGATGGTACACTGGGATTGGTAGTTCAATATATCCAAAATGACCTGAAATGAGAAACAGAGAAGAACTTCAAAAGTATTTTTGTGATTGCATAAAAAAAGTAAGACAATTAGCTCAAAGTTTTCTGATAGTGAAAACTTGCTCACTGTCCACCAAAAAAGAAATTGATCGGTAAAATAGAGTTTCTACAAAAATTACAAAGCCAAAAAAGGAATACCCTACACACCTTCACATTGCCCAGGTTCAGCAGTACCACAAGATTCACATTTTCCAGATTCAAGGGGCAGACCAAGAAAGGGATTTGAGAGTTGACTAGCATGGCTGATAGGGCAGTCACTATTGGATGATGTACACTAGCAAAAAGAATCACAATAATCCTGAATTATTTATCCAACAATAAAACAATCCACAAGATTCAGAGGGGAACTTAGTTTTGGTAGGCAATATTTGGGACCCCCTCTCAGTTGGAAGGAAATTTCATGTGATGTACTTAATCATCTGATTCTTGGCTAATATATAGTTGGGTAAAAATGTTTAATCCATTACAAGATCTGAAAGAACTATAAAATAACTGCTCATAATCATTGTGAAAATTACCTTCCAGCAATGAAGAAACAGATAATGTCTTCTATTGAAAAAGATAAGGTCAGGTGGACCATTGTTAATCAAACCAAATCCACAAATCGCTCCATACGAACTTAATTACACAAGTTGAAAAATATAAGGTCTAATGACCATTTTGTACTTACAATTTCTTGACGATTTGCCAAACCAAATCTGATTCCGGTTAAGTCCCCATCCAAAACAGTTGATGTTGTGTTTTCCTCCATCTGAGTTGCCACCTTTGACTTTCAATTAAAAAAACACGGTAGAAATTAACAAACAGAAAATAAGAAGGCGTGAATAAATCAGCATGATTCTTTGTTTATATGTTTCTTTAACTTATTCATAATCACAAGTTATCCAAATCTCCTTGGTTTGGTTGCCAGTAAATTTGAAAACTGAAACTATCAAACAAGATTATCAAATGATTCCTACTATTTCATTAACATTTTAAAAAGAAACAAAAAACAGAAAAGGCAAAATGTTATGTATAAGACTCAATTGCAAATAGAAATTGCTGCTTCCTCTGGTCCCAAATGACAAATACGTAAAACCCACTTACAATTAAATAATATCAAGCTAAATGTCAGAAAGCCCCACTTAGTAGATAGATGAATTAGGTTCAGTTGCATCGAGAAATTTATTCGTTCTCTAGCCCCAAATGATTTGAAATCTCTGATTGAAACCTTTGAAAATCTTTTCTTTCAAGCATTTTAATGGCAACCAAACAGATCACAAGTGGACCAAGTGACAACAAAGAACAGCATTGCGTGTCTTTTTATTTTTGGTAAATATCATTATCATCAAAACACGCTTGCTAAAACACAAATATCAAATAGAAAAGAACACCACGTTTGGTGGAGGTGGAAATTCAAGAAAACTAGTACCAAATAAAGAATAATCCTCTTAATTAAATTCTTCTTTTAGAGAATTGCAAAATAAATTAAACTACCAGTTGCATGGAAAACCGGTGTCCTTTGGTCCCTGATACCGAAAACCATCTTATCACATTCACGTCTCAAATATACTTTGCCTTTCCGACATTCCCACGGTAACCAAGCAGACCATATGTTGTTCAAAGTTCAAGTATCCCCAATATTGTGAATTTTACACAAAACCCACTTAAAATTATACAAACCCGCATTGCAAAATCGCAATTTTCCTTTCCTTTCCTTACTGACATTTTCTCAGCAACCAGACATACCCCATGTTGGCCAAAGGACTAGAATCGCCAAATTGAAATCATATACAAAACCAACATGCAAATACACCAAATCCACCTAGAATCAAACAGACCCGCGTTCTAAAACCCTAGTTTCAGAAAGGAATATCCACAATATAAAAGTCGAGAGATTACTTTAGCTAAGACAACCACAATTTAGGGACAAAAACAGACATTACTACCCAGTACGGACACTACCACCCTGCAGATTATGTTTATACTTATATACATATAGAACACATGCGCGTGTGGATTTATGCTTGCATATATGTCCGTGTACTTAAAAACACACACCAATGTCAATTGACACACACACAAAAAAAAAAAAAAAATTGTGAAAAAATATCATACCTGCAGTGAATTGATGGTGATAGGAAGGTGTAGAAACTATTACCTTAGCTGAGAGTTGAGAAAGAGAGGGGTTTCTTCTTCACACCATTCGGGTTTCTTCGGACCGTCGGGGAGAGAGAGAGAGAGAGAGAGAGAGCGAGAGATACAGAAAATGGGTTTTAGACTCTACATCCGTGCATGCAGTGAGAGCGATTGGTGATTTTTGTGTGGGAAGGGAATTACTTTCTGGAACCGTACAATGGCAAGCAAATAGAATTTGAGGTTGGGGAGGGGGAGGGGGGTTTCGAAAATCGAACCGGCCAATTTGGGGTTTCATATGGAGGGGAGGCTTAAATTTGAAAACCAAAATATATGTGCAACCCCTTTGACATTTCCAAGGACCAACATTCAATTTCAAATTTCATCAATTTTAATCATATTTTTTAGTTCAATACTCGAAATTTTATTGATGTTGATCAATTTTTATTTTTTATTTTTTATTTTACTATATGGTGTTTAGGTTTGTGCCGACTAATTCCACTAGTTCAATAATTGACCACCATGACGTGAGCTAGTGTACGTCCGTAAAAAGACAAAGGTGACTAACCCTAACAGACTTGAGCTCTTAAAGGGTGTTTAGACCGTAGCTAGCTCTTATTAATCTTGTCCATGTCGTACCTATTATTCACACCAGCGAACATCTATCAACGAATAATTCAATTGGGTCAAAATCATTCAAAAAATAAACAATTTTTGTATGTAGGCATATCGATACCAACAATAATCTTTTGTAATTGACATGCTTAGCATCCTCTTCACCAATATCATTTGGATCCATGTGTGTATTGTTGTTTTGGGGAGTCAAAACTAAATTGAACTATGGCACAACTAAATTCTAAAAAAATGATGAATTCAATTTAAATTAATCAAAAGAATTAGACACACAACTAGTATATTGAATTTAGATTCAACTTCTCAAAAAATGGGCGATAAAAAGATCCCTATCCCATCCACTCCTCACTTCATAGATCTCTCATGATCATTTGATTAAGTGGAGTAATGTTTTAGATCCTAACTGAAATGATCTGTTCATAATATGCTAGTGATTATTTGAGAAATTTGTGGAATTGTTTATTCACCCACAGAGTAAGTAACCTAAATTGCCATAATGCCATTCAATTGCTTGTTGATCCATTGTATTGAAAACATAAGGAGTTGGCATGGCTTTGAATAAAGTTTCATGGTTGGTAAAATGGTATGTATTCCAGTTACAGTGATGACTTAAAAGCCCTCACTTTTCCATATTTGTTTCTAAGGATTTTGTTGGATGGGATTGTAATATCCAATTCACCCTATTCTAATCCCATGGGTTTGGTAGGTATAATTTAATACCCCTTTCCCATCCAATATCATGTTTGATTTGATTCTTCTTACTGTATGTGGATCCCGCAAAAAGTAATTGTTACATTTGATGGTAACGTGTTAGTTGACTTGATTGCCCTTCTTATGATTTAAATAATTTTATGGGTTAATAGCATTTTCAGTCTGTAAAAGTATGTATATTTTATCAATTTGATTTATAAAATATCAATTTTATCAAATTATTTTCTAAAATGTTCAATTCGTATTTAAATGATCCCTACATAGACGGACTGTTAAATTTTTAACGGAATGAGGGCACATGATATACCCTAATAGAATGACACCTAGTCACTTCCATTTAAAAAACTTAACGAATTATCTGATTAGATATTAAAGTGACACGAATTAAAATTTTAGGGATTAAATTGACAAAATTAATTCAATGAGAATAAAATTGACAAAACGACAATACTTTAGAGATTAAAAGTATTATTAACCCTAATTTTACATTAAAAATGACAAATCATTATTTACTTTTTATGGGCCTATGAACAAAATCTCTAAAAAGTATTATTAACCCTAATTTTATATTAAAAATGACAAATCATTATTTACTTTTTATGGGCCTATGAACAAAAGTAAAGATTTTGTTGATGTCAATTAACTTAAATACTCTTATCATGATGTAGAACAGTAAATTATGAAGGGGTAATATAATAATTTACTCATCTAATATCGTTTTTGTGAGTTTGTTATTTCTTTATAGTTGCATATGCCGAATGGTATCATATAAAACTCATGTAGGTGAGATTTGAACCACAGTAGTAATTAGGCCAAGGTATTAATGTCACGCTACAGATGGACAAAAAAAAAAACATTCCAAACAAGGTAAGTCGGCTTTTGATGATTTTGACAATACCTTGCTCCTTCATCCTATCCAAAAACCTTGAAACAAACATTCTCTAATTATATGTCATAAATGTTTGTTTTGAGTTATACCAAGAGTAGGGACCTAATTCGGGAACCTAATCTAGAGACTTAATAATGTTATTTCAATACAATCATTAGATTAATTATAAATTATAATGTTAAATGGAGCCCACACTTAATTCAATATGTAGATTTTTTTGTTGTTTAATGCCCTTTTCCTATCTAATATCATGTTTGGTTTTGTTTTTTTTTTTTTNTATTTTTTAGTTCAATACTCGAAATTTTATTGATGTTGATCAATTTTTATTTTTTATTTTTTATTTTACTATATAGTGTTTAGGCTTGTGCCGACTAATTCCACTAGTTCAATAATTGACCACCATGACGTGAGCTAGTGTACGTCCGTAAAAAGACAAAGGTAACTAACCCTAACAGACTTGAGCTCTTAAAGGGTGTTTAGACCGTAGCTAGCTCTTATTAATCTTGTCCATGTCGTACCTATTATTCACACCAGCGAACATCTATCAACGAATAATTCAATTGGGTCAAAATCATTCAAAAAATAAACAATTTTTGTATGTAGGCATATCGATACCAACAATAATCTTTTGTAATTGACATGCTTAGCATCCTCTTCACCAATATCATTTGGATCCATGTGTGTATTGTTGTTTTGGGGAGTCAAAACTAAATTGAACTATGGCACAACTAAATTCTAAAAAAATGATGAATTCAATTTAAATTAATCAAAAGAATTAGACACACAACTAGTATATTGAATTTAGATTCAACTTCTCAAAAAATGGGCGATAAAAAGATCCCTATCCCATCCACTCCTCACTTCATAGATCTCTCATGATCATTTGATTAAGTGGAGTAATGTTTTAGATCCTAACTGAAATGATCTGTTCATAATATGCTAGTGATTATTTGAGAAATTTGTGGAATTGTTTATTCACCCACAGAGTAAGTAACCTAAATTGCCATAATGCCATTCAATTGCTTGTTGATCCATTGTATTGAAAACATAAGGAGTTGGCATGGCTTTGAATAAAGTTTCATGGTTGGTAAAATGGTATGTATTCCAGTTACAGTGATGACTTAAAAGCCCTCACTTTTCCATATTTGTTTCTAAGGATTTTGTTGGATGGGATTGTAATATCCAATTCACCCTATTCTAATCCCATGGGTTTGGTAGGTATAATTTAATACCCCTTTCCCATCCAATATCATGTTTGATTTGATTCTTCTTACTGTATGTGGATCCCGCAAAAAGTAATTGTTACATTTGATGGTAACGTGTTAGTTGACTTGATTGCCCTTCTTATGATTTAAATAATTTTATGGGTTAATAGCATTTTCAGTCTGTAAAAGTATGTATAT